TTTTTTTTGTCCTGCTCTCAGCAGCCTTGGCTTGGGCACCATGCCATGCTGCCTTCCAATCTCCATGGAGCTGCCTGCACAGCTGGCTTGCAGGAGGGCAGCGCGCTGGGGGCAGGTGATGTGCCATTCAGGGGTTGAATTCTTACCTGCCCCTCCGCCACCCACACCCCTCCTACCCTTACAGCTGGGGCCTAGGGCTTGACAGAGTGCAGCGTGAATATCCCCTCGCAGGGCCACTGGGCTAAGCTGGCTGTTGCCCTGGTTCCATCCTGCCCACAGTTCATGTGCTGGAGAGACTTAGAATCCAAGACTTAGCCGCCAGCATGACTCTGCTCTGCCCCTTAAAGTCAGGGGCCCAGGTGGGGCTCTCAACTCTTAGCCAGGCAGGAATAGCTCCTGGCCTAGTGCTGCAGTACACAAGGCCACGCCCTGCCAATGAAGAGTGAATCACAGGATTCTGAGCTGGCTGGCCTGGAGGGGACTTGGGCATGTGCAGGGCAGCTGCTCATGCCCAAAGAATTATGCGGAAGGGGAGTGGAACAAAGCTGCAGGTCCTACCTGGTCTAGACCCTCCCGTTAAGCGCACACTCAAAGCCCGGTCCTCCCGGCCTTGTGCCCGACTGTTCCAAGTCGTACTTGAGTTGTAATCGCTCCAGGCAGGGCGTGGGCATAACTTAACCGGACGTTCACCCGGCCTTCCTTCTCTGCCAAGCGCAGAAGACTTTCTGCAGGCAGAACAGATGTACAAAGAAGCCCTGAGCCAGGCCGAACTGAAAGGCGACACGGCATCCGTTCAGCACATCCGACAGGAGCTAGCAGAGCTGGCCAGGAGAAGAAAGCAGTCCCGCTGATGCACAGAGGAGGGAGGCTTGAAGCCTCTTGGACTGAACTGCTGCAGCCACGGTGGCGGGTTTGGATTTTAGAGCACGGGAAGGCTAAGCCCTCTGTTTTAATTCCCCTTGGAAACAGTAACAATTACAAGGGGGGAGGAATGAGCTGCTGCTGGCTGGCTTTGGCAAACTCCAAATAAAGGTTTGAAGTGCTCCCTGCTCCGCGTGCACGTCTCCGCCCCGCCTTGTGCTTGGATTACCAAGTTGAAATGTCCCTGCTCTGCTTTAGGCTGCAGCGCCCCTGCACTCAGTGTTTATGTTGGCCCCAGGCTCAGAACTGTAGTGCCTTTAAAAACAAAAAAACAAACAAACCAGGGAGCCACCTGATGAGCCAGCCCATAAAACCATCCCCAGAGAGAGCAGGGCTCATGCCCAGCACAGCACCATGGAGATGTTTAGGTAGGTGGAAGGAGCACAAGGGGGGGGTGGGTGAGCAAAGAGAGGGAGAAGGAATAGTAAGAAGCAGGTTTGTGTCTGCTCTTAAGTGAGCATGACTAGGAGCTAGAAACCCAGCTGGGCCTGTATTAAATTTCCTTCTGCCTTCAGTTTAGTAGGGTCTTAGTGAGTCTGCACTGAGCCATGGCAGGGAAACATTGACCTGAGGCATGTAGCTGTTCACAAGGGGTATAGGAAAGTAATCTGTGTCCACAGCTGGACAGGCCATTGTGTGGAAAGATTGTCAAGTGGATCTGTACAGACCTGGGCCTCTAATAGGTACTGTTGCAAGGGCAGGCCTCGGCTGGGGCTCCTTCCTCAGCATCAGAATTATGCCACCTCAGGTGGGTCTAGAACCTGGAGGGCATCCGCTGTCTCCTAGCCATGTGCCCTTTAAGAAAAGCAGCAGGGACTAATGAACAGCGACGTGTCTCACTGAACAGATGTCCCCCAAGCGTCACTGGCTGACGGGGGTTACAGCTCTCTGCACCCCGTAAGGGGGAGGGACAGGCTGTGGCACTGTGCACAGTGGCTGGCCCAGGCGGCTGTTAGGGAATGCAAATCCTGCTTGGAGTGGGATAATGCAGTTGTCAGTTCCTTGGCTCTGATCGCTCTTTCCTGGAGAGTGAAGTACCTAGAGCCAGCACCTCTGCAGCACCCTAACTTAGAACCACCCTTGGTGGGGGAAAGGGTTGTTTCCTTGCCAGCTATGAAATCCAAAATATATTGTGCCAGGGAGCTGGCTCGTTAGCGGCTGCTTGTTAAAGATGTTACACAAGGCCATCAGCTAAACACCAGACACTTCCTGCTACAAGTGGAGGTAGTTCTCCTCCAAAGCAACAGGAACACCTCCCCGCTGTGGGCCTAGAGCAGCATGCAGGCACATAGGAGAACACAAATAGCCTTTGAACAGTTCATGGCACGCCTCTGTCCGAGACAGGGAAGTGGGCAGTTACACTAGGTGCAGCTAGCTTTGGGGTTGCAATATGGTGAGTGGAGAATTGTGTTAATCAGGGGCCCACCTACGTGTGATACGCACCTATACGCCCTGGCTGCGTCGAGAGTGGCAAGTTTTTCTGCAATGCACAAACTTGCTGTCTACACTGGCCACTTGATTTTGTGCAAAAGCCCTGACGTTCTACTGTCCGAAATTAGTGCTTCTTGCACAAATACTTTGATGCTCCCGCTTGGGCAAAAGCCCTTTTCTGGAGGGCCAGTGTAGACAGCTGAAAACTGTTTCGCGCAAAAAAGCTCCGATGGCGAAAATGGCGATTGGGGCTTTCTTCCACAAAACTGCATCTAGATTGGCACGGACGCTTTTCTGCAAAAAGTGCTTTTGTGGAAAAGCGTCCGTGCCAATCTAGACGCTCTTTTCTGCAAATGCGTTTAACGGAAAAGCTTTTCCGTTAAAAGCATTTGCAGAAAATCATGCCAGTCTAGACATAGCCCCCTAGTGTAAGTGGGCAGCAGAGCTATTAATTAAGGGGTTTAGGTTTGGTCCCTTCTCGCATGCAGAGCTTGGCCATCTAGCAGGTACGTGTTTACTAACGGAGGCCTTCTGCATAAACCACCCAGGCCAGTTCAGTGACTAGTGTGGGTAGGGGCCTGGATTTCCAACCTCAGGCCTCTAGGTGCTGATTTGTGTCCACAATGAAGTGCTCAGGGGAGAAAACATGCAACACTTACAGGCTTAGGAGTACTCAAGAGCCTGTGCACTTTATACCACCTGTGCTGTCATATGAGCATCTTAAGTTGTCTCACATGGTTTTGACTCCGTACGTGGACTGCTACCTCCCAGAACTCTAATGGTCTATTTTAGTGTTGCCAGACTACTTGGACTGCAGTGCCGCAGGAGGGTGCTTCAGCTGCTTCTGTAGAGCGTTGCGCCTGTTACTCTCATTGGAGCTTGCAAAACAAGGGAGACAGAGCAAAAGGAAATGGAGAACTGATCCCCTTTATTGATTGGTCTGAATCCAAAAGTCATTGTCTACTGAAGACATTTTGTGAAAAGAAGTTGAAGGTTATCATGACGCATGGGTTTTTCAAGTTTTAAATGTTTTCATAGCAGGATCACTGAACATACCAGGCTGAAAACACTGTGAAAGCACTGATCAGAAATCAACAGGTAAAAATTTGTAGTCAACTACTTTTGTAAACAATGATTTACAGACACCTGCCTGTTTCAAACAGGCAGGTGTCTAACTCCATATTCAAAAAGCTACTGGAATCTTTTAATAATGCTCAGTTTAGGCTCTGGGTGTTAGTATCAAATATTAAAACTTAGGGAGCAGCCCTAAGAAAATAGCTTTACAATGAAACTAAAATAGATGTGCAAATGCCATTTGCCCTCTGCCTCTGAAGGTTATTCCTCAAAGGCGGGGCTGCTTGACTACCTTAGGTAGGCTACCATGCAGCAACAGTAAAGAGAACACAGATTTCCCTCCTTTGCCAGTTAGGTTGAAGCACAGATGTTCATATAGTACAGTTCACCACGGGCTTTGCATGTACAAGTCTATTTCAAACATACTGAGGTTTGTGTCACACCGAGGAGCAAATGGAACTCCACTTTTCACTTTCCCCAATTTAAATTCACAATAAGAGGAGACCAACTAGTCTTCCGGAACACTGCTGAGAGTTAAGAAAAAGTTAAAATCAGAGGGATAGGGGCTCCAAGCAAAGTTCACCTTCACCTGCACAGCTGACACATTTCAGAGTTTTCACATTTTCAGGATGTTAAAGATTTTAACACTTCCAACTGATTTTAACTGCAGGATACACCATTAAAACAGCAGCAGCAAAGCAATTCTACAATCCTTGCAGCTTGTCAGGTTTCCAAGACAGGTTGCAAACCAGCAGAGAGGAGTCTAAAATCTCTTGCTTTCTCTTTCCTACAGCTAGACCAGCCTGGGGCACTCCTCAGTAAAGTACAACACACTTTTTAAAGATTTACAGCACACAGGGTTCTGTGTCTCTTCCCAATAGTTAACTACAGGCAAAGGGCATCACAGACCTCCAGAACATAGCAACTGCATAGACTACACATTACAGCTAAAATCAATGTCTTCCATACATAAGGAATTGCAAATACAAGTCAAAAAGTGAACTTTTTTTCAGCAGGTTGTAAGATAGTGGTAAGTCTGATATCCTCCCGAGACAAAGGCTGGATATGGTCTTGCTTCCAAATGACAGAAGGGAAACATGTTGTTTCAATGTTTCATTTAGTCCTCGGCACTTTGCTAGCCTCCCATTCAATAGCTTTCTCCCCATACCAGTACGTGTCTCCTTGTACCCCAGAATACAAACTCATGGTCCGGGAGCCAGTGCAACCCTACAGAAGTAAACTGCGTGAAACAGATTCCAGCTGATAGTGGTAGCACTAATCAGATGTGTGTATACATGTACGACGTGAGTACTACTACAGTAGAGGCCTCGAATTCCAGCAGGCACCGAGAGACGAATGATTAAAGAGACCCTATTCTAGTACCATAAGCAATTTTTTCAGAGAATATTTCTCTTATCAAGTAAAGTTCAGGGGTTGGTTCAATATAAAAAACAAACAAACTAGATTTCCATGCAAGTCATTTGTCTTACTGGACTGATTTTAAAAGTACATGTTAAAAGACATTTCAAAATTAGAGTGAAGTGAGCAATAATCATAGTATCTCTTTCAAACTGGCTGCTGTTAGAGCCCAGAAAACTGACACTCCTCTTCCTTGATTATAAAGTTCAGAAGTAGCTTTGTTTTGTTTTTTTAAACTAGAGCAGTGGATATATTTTTCTTGATAGACCTAACAACTACCCAGAGCCTTTCTTGAGATATGCAATCTCCTGTGATTTTACAGCTATATATGGCAGTAATATTTGTTTAGAATGGTAGCCTTTCAGCTGCATACAATGCAGAAACAGAAAACCTTAAAAAATAGTATTTTGGGGCACATTTAAATTACCAGTGTGCATAACAGTGAGGTATGCCTCCAGAAGCTGCTTGGTTGGTTTTTTGTTTCTTTTTAAACTGAACTATAACATACCCATGCAATAATATTTCTGCAGTGTTGCTAAATAAAACTGACCTCACTGAAAATTAACAATGTGTCAGAAATATAAAAAAAAAATCAAAGAAATATATCCTCTTCCCCCAGCAGACCTGACTATGTTAATGTACAGAATTAGTTAAGGGGTCAGTTAAAAAAAAATCAACATTTTCACAAGAGCTTCAAAACCACTGTGTCTAAGGGGAAATTAGATTGAAGCATACCAGAAAGAGGAGGCATTGCATTAACGGGCAATGATGCTAAGTTGGTTGTGAGAGTAAAGTATGAAGAGTATTCTACGTGTGAGAAAATGCTTTAAAAAAAAATTACAAAATGACCCCAAAGGTTTATGCAATGATTTGAACACAAGTACACCAGAGACTATAGCAAGGGAAAAAACACTGCAAAAAGTACTCTCTATTTACAGAAGAATGATTTAAAGACATTATGGTTTTCTTTACAAATAGATGTAGACCAGGAATAGTCCACTTTTAAAAAGTCTTTACATATTTATCTTTAGTACGTCAGCCCTCCTAGAGCACATTCCTCCTACACGTGGTCTGTGCAGAAGGAATCTTTTCAATGCGACTCTCCAGACAGCTCTCCATCATTTCTTCATGCGTGGCCTGTGCTCTCTTGGAAAGTCCCTTGGGGCACAAGTCAAAAAGAGGGCTCTCAACCCACAAATAAACACAACTCTGCATAGTTCAGTCATCACTGTCCGACAGAGTCTCATATTGTGCGGAAAGCAGGGGGGCAGGCTCTCGCTCCCATATCCTGTTCTGTTGGTGAGTGGCTGCTTGGCTCATGGATGGCGGGGCACATGCAATGGATGTTGGCGGGGTACTGCTGAGCATCCGCATCGTCAAAGGGTTGTAAGGAAACTGAGTTGATCCTAAGTCAGAAAGTGTAACTTAAGTAAGGCATGCGTCTCGCCCAGCAGAGCTCCGGGACCATGTGCTCCCACTAGGAACAGACACGCACGGGCTAGACCAGAGCTCAACACACATCTCCCACCAAGATTCCAGAACCTAAGTCATTGTAACACCGGGACAGGGAAAGTTCAATTTCCTTCCTAAAATTCCTGCTAGTTTATAAACAACTAAGATCACATGCAACTTGTGCACAGGGAGGCCAACTCTTGATTTCC